CCAAAAAGCCTGAAGTCTATGCAGGCGATCGGGGCACATGTTAGCACAGTTTACAAAATAAACAGGCGAGGTTTGCGGATCGGAAAGGGCGGCGTTGTTCGAGGATGAGGCGACGGGCTAGGGACAGCGTCCGTTGCTCACTGATAACACAATTAGCTTGTCTCGTCATGCGCGACCTCTGATAAGGGATTCCCTCACTCTTGGCCCCGTCTAACATCCCCCACCACCGTTTCTCTGTGCCGGTCGCTTTCGCTCCGATTTATCTGTTTCTCTGTCGGCCCCGTTCGCGTCGAGCTTGTACTGAACAGGATCTCGCTCGTCGGTCGGGTAAATCCAGACGAGGAGATCCTTTGGGAGTACACGGCGTTCCAGGGACGCGTGACAAGGGCGGCGGGGGTGCAGCTTAACCCTCTCCGATGCGAAGGGACGCAACACGGGGTGAGCCGACCCCAACGTTAATACCTTCCGGCAGGTTTTCTTCACTTGATTTATTCCGCAGGGGCTGGGATCGTGTGGCACGGCACGCACGTGCGTGCACACGTACCTCCCGCGCCGGTTTTCGCACGGGCACGCGACTGTGTAGGTGGACCCCGAGGGGGGCGGACCTGATGCTGCGAGCGAGATACTTGAACGGAGTCCGCGGATGTCCAGATCGTGCCCTCACAGGCACATTCGGCGCTACCCTTCGGCTGGGCACAACCCCCTCGCGGCAACGTGCACTGGCAATACCGCACGGTGTTATCTTCTCCCAAAAATTTCGCCGCAATTCCTAGCTTCGTACGATTTTTATGAAAATTGATATTTTCGCATCCTCGAGGTTACCGAATTCGAAGACACTGCATAGAAAAAAATACTCGGAACCTCTCCTGTTAAAGTGCCACCACTGTACGTACTCGATTGTGACGCCGAGTTCATTCGCGATCCATCAATCATTGTGTTCGCAGCAGATTTTTATATCAGTCGAGCTCAAGCCTGTTCTGCGACTTTCATATTGAGAAAAGATTTGGTATATTTGTTCATTTCGTACGTTCTTGTCCCGATTTTTAGCGATTCTACGTTCAGTTTCCCAGATAGCACAAAGACGTCTTTCAGACGTCTGAAACTCGTACGGTGTAGGATATTCGGGGTGTTCTTATTAAAATTATTTATTTCAGGAACCATGAAAACATAAAAGACGCCTTGAAGAAATGTTTCAAGTGTCTTAAAGACGCTCATTTTAAGGCGTGCGACGTTCAGACCTAAAATGGACGTAAAATGAACGTCTTTAAGACGTCCAGTGCTTATTGGCTTATGAGTACGATATGCGAATAAGTCAATAACCTATGGAGTATCGCTTGAAATGCCAACGGAAGCCCAAAAATGCGTCGAAGTTGCTCAAAAATCAAGGTAATGCTCCACTGATTTCTTCGATTATCGTAGTTTTGTTTATTCGGAATTCCAAAGCTCATCTTTACAATATGTAGTTCAATGGTAAAATGTTGTACAAACGGTTTATCCTTAAAAGGATAAATTTTAGCTTGACGCATTACAGACGTTACCATTTTTAAGGTATTACGAAGCACAAGAATATTCAACTTGGATGATCTCTGTCTCAGACATTTGATGTTTTGAAATGCATAGAACATAGTCGCCACGGAAACTACGTCAACGCATACGTATAAATATGTTAATTTTCAGCATGCATATAAGTTATCGAGATCTACAAAATGCATTTTTTAAATCTTTCGTTACGTTTGTACGTACATATATGTGTACGTTATTGCAACCAATTGCAATCTAAAAAAGTTTGTGTATACTCATTCCATAGAGCACTAGTTGATCCAACATCTAAAAAATATTCAAGTTCTTCGAAAAGACATTTACGAACTTTCTGAGTCGACTGTATGTACTACTGCAGCTTCTTGCTGCTATAATTATGCAATAATATACTATAATTAAACTTGGAAAATTGCATTGTGGCCATCTTTTTGGGAGAAGGCAACGCAGTGCGTCGGTTTCCTAGAAATGCTAATCTTTAGGCGCTGGAAACGTTTGTCACACTTTCGGCTACCGTTCGCGAACGCGTGTTAACACGCCTATGCTAATGAGTAGTCCGATGGAGAAACTTGGAGCTAGGTTGTGTGGCATTCTATTTAGTGAAAACTGTATGCAAGTTGAAATTGTAGTGATGGAGTAATGGTGAAATGTAATTAAAGTTTATCGTACTTTTTATTACGAGGCGAGTGTAACTGCTGAAGTTGAATGAAATCTTCGCGCTATCGATAGTTTTGTAGATATTCCATGCTGCAATGTATTGGAATAGAAGGCACGAAGTTGTAGAATAAATTGGAGTACACTCATCAATGATGCATCGAGTAGCTGTAGCCTTTCATTATTAATCATATCTAACGTATGCAATAGGAACCCAGTTATTTGACATTGATTTTATAGCAATATAAATGATTTTATTTATCATGGTTGCGTATAACAGAGTATCAGACGATATTAAATGTACATTTAAGTGCAGCTAATACGTGATGCTTTAGAATTACTAAATTGCAATGTTTGTCATTGGTTCTCCACGTCGTTTGCGATTTTTAAGAAACACGACACTATTGAATAATTAGAAAATTGTTATACATTGAGAATATTTCTAAAATTTGAACGATCAAGATACTGAACGAAAATGTTAGTTCACGTCTTGGAACAGTTGTACAATTTTACGAAATATTTGCTGATATGTTTACGAAGTATTATGATGATTTCGATAAATAGATTAATGAACGATGTAATCATGTTTTTTAGAGAATTTTGTAAAGACTTGGACACGTTATTGACAAATAGCCGTTTTAATAGCAGAAAATGATACGTTAACTGTAAAAATCATGTGCATTTAAGAGGATATATTCGACCACAAATGCATCCGTTAATATCATCTTCGAGAAACCGTGTTCCACGCCGCGTTTGGCCTTTTAACCTATTTTTTACCAATATATCTATCTGACCCGGTCCCTAAAACCACGTCTGAACCGGTTTCAGCACATCAGAACGCTTTAAAGGTGATTGCCAATCTCGGAACAGTATTTTTCTAACATGTACACATAATTGAACGATCCCAACAATATTCTACCAAATAATAAAACATAAAAGTACTTTTTTTTATTATTGCTACCACTATTGTTATTTAAATTCCCCGTTATCGGATGTGTACATAGAGTGTTACGAGAACCGATGAATCCTTTGTTTCCCTTTTCGAGCATCAGAAGCGAGGTCGTTCACTATAATTGAAATAAAAATTGTTTATACCGTACACGTTATTTTGACTTCTTTCATTTACATTTATTGGGACTTCTGCTCTTTAATTGGCTGACACTATGTACCTTTGACAGCTGGATAATGGAAAGTTTCGAATTTCAACATTTCGAAATATTTTTCACATAATAAAATTTCTTGTATGTAGCTCGATTTTATTTGAAGCAGTCCGAATAGCGTTTGCGTCCTCATTAATAATTAACTTTAATCGTATTAATATCAAGTTGTTGTCCCAGTTTCCGTGACCGACCCAATTTCCGTGCCCCCGGATTAAAAGCATATATAAAAAAAAGTATCGTATATAAATTGATGACCTACTTTTTTATTATGTTTACCTATCACTAGGCTATTACATTCTTCATATGTTAAAGTGTAATTAACACTTTTCAATTGATGCTACAGCAGTCCTGTGGAATTTAAGTAGTACGTCTTGTTAAAAATCGTAAGAAACATTTGCCGAAAATTTTCATATAAATTAATTATTAATGTGATTTACGTTCTACAAAACATATATTAAATTAGTTGTAAGAGAGTTTCATTTAGTACTAACGACGATAAAAAGAGGATACTAATTATGCATATTTTTATATTTTTAATATAAATCCAGAAATATTAGTCCGTCTTATATTAGTCCGCGTAATCTAATCTAACCTCATTTTCAATCGAAACCATATTATGAGAATTGTAATAACTGTAATAATTGTAACGATATAAAACTACTAATAATACATGTTTTCATATTTTTTAAATAAATCTAGATGTAGGATCAGATTATAAAACTTGTCCATATTTCAGTGCCCTCTTGTATTAGGCCGCGTAATTAAACCTAACCTCACGTTGTGAAAACGATATTATGAGAAAAGAGAAGCAGATCGGAAACGTGATTACAAGAAGCACGGTAACTTTGGGAGATACCTATAAGGTGGAAATAAGGGATACAGAATACGCTTCTAGAAGGGCACGGAATTATGGTCTCTCTCTCTCTCTCTCAGAAACACCATTTTCTATCTCATTAAAAACATTATTAAATTACTAATTTTTATCATACAAAGAAATATATTTAAAATCGAAAATGTCTGAAAAATCGAAATATGTTTTTAGCGCAGTAAACGAAAATTATAGTACTCAATAACAATTTCGGCAAAGCAAAAATTGTCTTAAAGGCACGGAAATTAGGACATTTACCCTACTAAAGCACATTACAACATTTTCAACACAAGCCTAATCATTGATAAAATAATTTATTGATAAAATAATACAATTTTTGCACAAGCACGCAACGAATTAAAAAATATTTGACAAAAATTCAAATTTACTAGGAATCATCCCCAAGCAAGAGGCGCGAGTGAAAACATCGTTTCCAAAACGAAAATATTGTCAAAAATTCAATTTCATAAAAAATGACCCCTCTCCGCCGCTTTTCTCTAACAAGTTCTAGCAAGTTCCAACAACCTCCCTTATTCGAACCGAACGAAATCGGGTTTTCGCGACGGAAGCTACGAAAGGCCAGGGCCTCGGCGGCAGTCGAAGGATACAAAGTGTCACGATCCGCGGCGATTGAAAAGAAGAGGCCACCGGGAAGCAGTACAGCCATAGGCGGAGGCGCAGTGGAGCATAGGGGGTGGAAACGGTGCGGTAATAGCATAAATCCGTGGTGTAGTCGGGTCTCGGCGTGGCCGGAGAAGGGGAAGGGACAGGCCAGGGTACAGCCGACTCTCGGAAGAAACGACAGTCGCCACTCGACGCCTGCAGTGAACGGAAGGTGGGCTCTGCGCAGACGCGAGCCGCATTTTTCGGACAGAGTGCATTCGTTCCGTCGTCGTCCGGAGAATCGAAACTGGTTTCGAACGTGGATCATGATCTCCGCCGAGAGTGCGTCAAACCGGATAAACAAACGGACCCAGGGTACTATCGATCGCGGATCCACGTAAGCCGGAGCTACAGCGCTCGAGATCGACAACAGCTGAGTCGATCGCAACGAAGCCCGAGGAAAGAGAAACAAGCGCGTGAGATCGGCAGAGGCGCAATCGAAAGTGTGCAGGTGAGAAAGATAGAGAAGGAGGGAGAGAGAGGGAGAGAAAAGAAAGAGAGAAGGACGAGTGTGTTGTTGTCGGGATTTTGAAAATCGACGCGCGAGTGAAAAGTGCCGGGAAGACTCGGTGGCCAGCCGGCTGGAACGAAAAGAGGGATTCGAACGTGGCACGCATGTCGACGGGAACGGACACCTGAGAGAGAAAAAAAAAGAGGAGCTCGTGAAAGTGTCCGCGCGGCGGAATTGTCAGCGAGGCAGAGGAGACACGACTGCCGGGATCTATCGATGGAACAGGTGCGAGCCACGTTTCCGAAGGTGAAACCGAGCCTGCGACCCGCTGCGACGACCGGCCAGGGTGCAATAATGTGCCGGCGAACCAGACCAGCCAGCGGCCGAATACAATAGAACTGGAAGAACCGTACACGTGACATATCGGTCTCTCGGTGCATCCGAACACTTCGATCCGGAGGACTTTCGATTCTCCGCGAGATCCTTTTCTTCGTGACTTGTGCTTGTGTGAGAGTGATCCGATCGTCGACGTATTTTATCTTCTGTTTCGGTTCACGTGACCGAGAGTGATTGTTGGTTTTCTTATTCGACACCGTTTCGTGGACGCGAGCGCCAGCTGATCGCTGCCGCTGCGGGACAATTATCGGGAGCTGGCTGATTGCTTGGTGGAAACAGCGGACGGACCGGAAGTCAGCAACGTGGACGCTGCACCGGTCACGGAAAGGGAATAGTCACGCTAAACAAACAACGCCAGGGGCCCTCGTCTGCGACACGAATTCGAATGGTAAGTCTGTTTGTTGTGGTAATGCGCGATCATCGGGACATCGGTCCGACACTGGCTCGGATAGACTCGAAGTGAACCCGTCGGGCCAAGCGGTTCACCTAGTTCTCCCCACTATCGACAGGTTTTCGGTCGGAATTACTGTTCGAAACGAAGTGTTCTTCAGGAACGAATTTTTGTTTTAGAATAATGAGCATGGATTTTTATTTTAGAACAATGAGTATGGATTATTATTTTGGAATGATGAGTATGGACTTATAGTGTGGAATAATAAGCATGGATTTTCATTTTGGAGTGATAAAAGTATCGACTTATAATTTGGAGCAATAAGTATGAATTTTTATTTTGATGTAATGAAAATATCGATTTTTAATTTAGCGTAATGAGTATGGAGATTTATTTTTGAGTAATTAAAGTGTCGTCTTCTAATTTAGAGTAACGAGTATGAATTTTTATTTTGGAGTAATAAAAATATCGATTTTCAATTTAGAGTAATGAGTATGGGTTTTTATTTTTAACTAATTGAAGTATCGACTTTTAATTTGGAGTAATCGGCATGAATTTTC